TATTGCCTTCTGAAAATTTAACCAAAAATTATGATATTCCTAAATCCCCCTTACAAACTACCACAAATAAACTCAAATATTCTGGATCTGGACTTTTTCAAGCCCAAATGACTTCTATGGAAAGTTGTGAAAATCTTACTTCAAGATCGTTAAAGTCTTTCACATTCTGCCCCGTCCCTGATTATCCTATAAAAGGCGAGCAAGGTGTTTCCGATGGTTCTTTGACTCAGCTAAGACAAGTGAGTTATGAAAGTAGAGTCTCACTTGATCGCGTTGTCAATATTCGAGCCAATCCACTAGCTTCGTTTTTAAACAAAGAAGACTTTTTTTCAATTCATTCAATTAAAGAACGAAGCCATTCACCAAATTCTTTGGGCATGGAAGGTCCCCACGGCGATTTAGACTCTGATCTCGATAACAGGACTAAGATGTGTTATCTTCTTAAGAAGTCTCCCACTTCGGTGTTTCTTGGAGAGCAATCATATTCGGCAAATCCTCCCGTAGCTCCCAATGCTATCTCAAAACTTTCGCTGAGCGACGCCCAGAGTGAGTCTTGCACTTTTAGCCCTGAGCTGCTTCCTATTCATAAAGCTCCCATGAGTAGCTGCTCAAATCCTGTTCCAATATCATCAATTGATGTTACTCTCCCTGCTACTTCTGCAGCAGATTTTGACTCTCTCAAAGAAGACCATAAAAGGAGCATTGATGAAACAAACTCCAGATCTAACTCTAATGGCTCTCCTTTGAGCCCTTTCCTTGTTTCTGGAAAAAGTGTCAATTTTACTAATGCTCATGCTAGCATACATTCGGTTGCTTCCAGTCTAAACACAGAGTCATCCCATTCATTGCGACAAAATTACACAGAAATGAATTCGTCTACGGAGAGCGACGAATTTGAACGTTTTTTGAGTTCACAGAAGAAAAAAAATGTCTCTCGTCTCTCTCTCTCTTTATCTTCATCCTTTATTGTGTCTACTAACTCTTCTTCAAGCAATGAATTATCGAGTAGTTTTCCCATCTACAATCGTGTTGATAATAAAAGGTAACATATACTTGCATCATTGCATATTTTTATCCTTTCCAGCTTTTTTTATCATTTTTTCTTTTAGTAATGATTGTACCCAGGATAACGTTTGGTCCACTGACCCAGAGACTTCCTCTGAGGAGTGTAATTTCTCATCTAACCAAAAAAATGTCCCAAAATCGATCATATCGGGAAGTCCACTTAAATATATCAAAAACAATGTATCTCAGCATTTTGTAAAATATTCAAACAGGGAAATATCCGGATCGAAATCAGCAAAATATCTTGACTTCATCTATTCTTTGTATCCATTCGACTTGGATTCTCCTGTTTGGGCCAAAGGTCTCATACGTGATCCAGAGGCAGAAAGGTTATTTGTTACTGCTATTAATTTTGCTTTTACACATTGACTACATTTATTTTTTGATTGAAAAATTGAGACAAAAAATAATCGATGCAAAAAATGTCCCTGCTGTCTAAGACTTTTACATACTAACTTAGATTCTCCTTTTTTGATGGCTGAATTGACCCTGTGTTACGCTTGGAATGAGCTTAACCTTTCATGATATTTTGTATTTATTATTATTATTTGCACAATGAGCAAAACGACCTGTTTATTTTAGTGGCTGAAGATGCCATATTGTTACATTTTATTCATGATTGGCCATTGATCTGTTTTCTTCG